ATGTGAATGAAGGCGAATGGCATGTTTGAAATGTTCAATAAACCAGTTGTAAAAAGGGGAGGGGGAGTGAAGAAAAATTAACTTGGATTTTGCGGACTAAAATGGTCTTTTCTGAGCGAAGAACAATAAAAATCATTCCTTGAACCAAAAAAGAGAGGAGTTCTCCAAATTATACCGTATGCTAAAGACATAAATTCTTCTTATGTGCTACATCAACATATGATTTGATACTGTTTGCTTTATTCCCCTTTCCTCTGCATTATGGTACCACGAAAACTCAATGACATTAATGGAAGATCGTTATAGCGCTTGCAAACATAAAATATCGGCATTGTTAAGAAAATAAGACTGGGATTAATTGAGTCAACATTTGCTGCATACGTACAGTACACAAGATGCAAGGTATGGCGTTTCAACTATATTGATGTTGGTAAATCCTGCTTCATTGAGCATCTTCGTCGCACGCTCTCTGCCCCACATTGCGCCAAGACCGAGTGCGTCTTGAAGGAAGTAAAATATCATCAGTTTCTTTAAATTGATAAAATTGGTGCTAAAATCAAACTTGCAACCTGCTGAGTTACTTCCAATGGGAAGACAGTTAAACAGCGATTCCGCATAGCTCACTGCTGCAGACTCTCCAAATTGTTGTTTATCTTTGAAAATGTTGGAGGTCCCATTGATCTAAAAGCTATTCGTAATTTGCAGAGAAAACTGAGGAAATATCACGTACCTCCAACATTGCATATACTCCGTCCGACTTGAGTATACGATAAATTTCTTTTAAACACTAAAACTGATAAATATTTTCAAAATCTAAGAGTTTAAGAGCATTAAAATCGGAGACCAAACAGCGTACGTAGAAACGTAAACAGTAACGATTGTTATTTGTACTTCAAATCTGCAGCTTTACTAAAAGCTGTAAGCTCTTGTTCGCTAAAGAATCACTACTTTAGGAAAAAATTCATGAAGTGCTTCTGGAGGATACTGCATGGAAGTTACTTGAAAAATAATTTAGAAAGGAAGAAAAAAATGAGAAATTAGCACA